GTGGCGATCCTACGTTGCCTATGAATACACAAGCGACGATTCCCTGGGGCCAAGGAACCTATTGTCAGGGACCGCAGAGCAGGGGGGGATGGGGGGCTATAGCCCCCCCCCAATAATTTTTCCGCCATTTTGAATTTTCTTAAATAAAGAAGCGCGCAGAGCCTCCTTATGAAATTTCACTTTTCATTGTATTTAAGATTGTGTAAAAACCAAGCATGAAAAATTATCGAACCTTTTTGCGAAGTCTTTGGGACTTTTTTGAATATCGTGTGACCGTGTGTGCGGTTTTAACGGTCAGAAATATGTCTGGGATAATGCTTCAAAACGCTGGAAATGACATTTCCGAGAGTTAAGATTTCAAAATTTTCCGGTGTGTAATTCCCCCGGATTCCACCTAGTACCTCCTGCCTTTGCTGCCGATAGCCCCACCCCCCCCACCCCCCCCACCCCCCCCGCAAACGAATTACCGCTCCGCGGTCCCTGATTGTGAAGGTTGATCATTCCTCCCGTGGGGCCTGATCCGGGGCGCCCTGTTTCCTTGCCTTATAAAGGCAATAAACATATCTGTCTGAAAGATTCGGAAAAGGGATGTTTATCCACGACATTGAGCGGTCCTTGGATTAATTTAGCTGTAATCAAAGACATCTTTCTGTATCTGTTGACTTATGATTAATTCTCGAACGTTTTCTCCGATGTTTTTATTATCTAAACTTTTTTTTTACATCCATGTTTTAAAATTACTATTATTTGCTGATRTAGTTATAGTTTTGCAATAAAACCGAAAGCTTGCTAAGTTTTCCTTGATTTCTTTATCAACAGCTTTAAACGGATTATCATTCATCCTCTTCAATTAACATTCACTATATTTATATTCCGAATAATGTGTAAACTTTTATATCATTAAGAACGGAMATTGTGAAACGTTCTAGTTTGTAAACCGCTTACGTTAAGAATTTCAAAGAGATTTGTGCCTTGGTGTTTATYTGAATACTAATAATATCTGTCTGATATAAGAACTGTACACGGCCTTTTCGTGTGATGATTTGGAAAACAATAACGACAATTGAACACTTTGTGACAGCCGTCACATTACATCGAACATCGTTATTCGGCCGCAAACCAACACTCAGCACCCATCCCCACCCCCATCAAATAATAAATCCACTGAAGAATGATTATTATGCAAAGCCTATATCGTTTGCTAATTCCCGAGCTGAGCTCTGATTGGATCGCTGATCCCTAAGGATTTTGGTGACGTCATATATTAGCATAGAACTTCACCGAATAGACTACCCCAATTAGATATCAGATATCTATAAGTGTCTTCGTAGTACGATGGTCTAAGAGGGTAGCTAAAGGTATGCTCTAGTGGGCGGCTACCCCCTCACTCCCTGGCCTTTTGGTTAAGACTAAGTTTTATGTTCACTCGGGATAGCGTGGAAGAGCCGAAATCTCTAACCGTAACGTAAGCCGATTCGACGCCTCAGCTTCATAGAATGTCTCGGGGGAATCGTCCCATCTTTTTAGTTTTTTNTGTTACTTCGTTTGTTTTGCTCTATAGATTTTCTCTTTTCAACTATAAAAACATATCAAGGACTCGCAAGGAACGCCTGCTACAAGTGGATGGTTACCTTCGGTCATTCAAAACGATGACATAGTGACGAGAGGCCCCATAAGGACTTTCGTCACAAAAACGGCACGTGAATATAATAATAATACAACAAATATTTACAGAAAAAAACTAAACATGACTAGAACAACTATATTTCAGTTGAAAAGGAAGAAATAAAAAATAATAATTATGTAGACGTGCTCGAGTCGAGGCCATCGAACCTGGGATCCTGATTTCGCTAAACTGCCACGTGAAAAAAAAGAGTAAAAATTGATGAGACGAATGCAAGGGAGTTTCCCGCTTTTTTTATTTCTTGCATTCTTTTCACTTAAAATTTTTTTGTACTATTATGCCGTACTATCCATGAAAAGTTAAATAATATATTTACATCACGACTTGACAGACACTAACCCTACAGTCTAATCCAATCTGGGAATTGCACCCAGTCCTCCTGACAACTACACAAGTAGATGTCAAGCGTGCTCTTTTACACCAACTAGATTGGGTAGTGGGTTGGAGTCGGCGCGTCGCGATGTGTCGAGGGAATTATATTCACTTAGTTAAAAACCATTCCATTTGTTTCCAATACCATTTCTTATCAGTACCATTTCCAGGCAATGCCATTTCGATCAATTCTTGATGCAATTCATTCTGTTCATGCCATTTTACCTTTGTCATCAACCTTCAGGCGTTGAGTCCAAAATGTCTTGAGCAAAAGAAATTCACACAGCGTGCTCCAATAGAATTTCCTGTCCAGTTGGCCAATAATATATACCCATTGAATCCTATTTCAAGTTAGAGCTATATCTGGTCAATACAATTTTCAGTTTCACATATTTTCTGTTGGTATCATGACAAACAAATGGTAAATGTGATCCATTGAAGTACAATGGATTACAGATGGCCTCCAAACCTCCCCTTACAGCCATCTCTTTCCACTCAAAGAAATCGATTTATAGAGTAATTAGAATAGAGAATAATCACAAAGAAACTCATGGATTCACGAATCACATGAAGAAACCAGTTATAGATAGAGCAAGATATTTTGAAGTTGAGTTTTGAGAGTTGATTAAAGCAGCTCACTTACAGCTTTCCCATGGCACATTTGATGTTGCCTACATTCATCCGCCTAGCTATGTTACACATCCTNAAGCCGATTCGACGCCTCAGCTTCATAGAATGTCTCGGGGGAATCGTCCCATATTTTTAGTTTTTCATTTTCATTATTTCTTATGTATTCAGGGGGGTACATCTTATCCTGAAGTGAAAGTTCTGAGTTCGAGTCCTGCTTTTGGAATTTCTCTTTTCTTCACTTGTTTATTGTTTTTTTTTTCGTTTGTTTCTTGTTTTCTTTTCTTCTTTCTTGTTTTCTTTTCTTTGTTGTTGTTACTTCGTTTGTTTTTCTCTATAGATTTTCTCTTTTCAACTATAAAAACATATCAAGGACTCGCAAGGAACGCCTGCTACAAGTGGATGTTACGGTTCGGTCATTCAAAACGATGACATAGTGACGAGAGGCCCCCATAAGGACTTTCGTCACAAAAACGGCACGTGAATATAATAATGATACAACAAATATTTACAGAAGAAATTAAACATGACTAGAACAACTATATTTCAGTTGAAAAGGAAGAAATAAAAAACTGATTTCGCTAAACTGCCACGTGAAAAAAAAGAGTAAAAATTGATGAGACGAATGCAAGGGAGTTTCCCGCTTTTCTTATTTCTTGCATTCTTTTCACCTAAAAATGTTTTGTACTATTATGCCGTACTATCCATAAAAAGTTAAATAATATGTTTACATCACGACTTGACAGACGCCAACCCTTCAGTCTAATCCAATCTGGGAATTGCACCCAGTCCTCCTGACAACTACACAAGTAGATGTCAAGTGTGCTCTTTTACACCAACTAGATTGGGTGGTGGGTTGGAGTCGGCGCGTCGCGATGTGTCGAGGGAATTATATTCACTTAGCTAAAAACCATTTCCATTTGTTTCCAATAACATTTCTTATCAGTACCATTTCCAGGCAATGGCATTTCCGATCAATTCTTGATGCAATTCATTCTGTTCGTGCCATTTTACCTTTGTCATCAACCTTCAGGGACTTCAGGCGTCGAGTCCAAAATGTCTTTAGCAAAAGAATTTCACACAGCGTGCTCCTAGCATTTCCTGTCCAATTGGCCAATAATATATACCCATTGAATCCTATAGTAAAGTATAGTAAATGTGATCAATTGAAGTACAATGGATTACAGATGGCCTCCAAACCTCCCCTTACAGCCATCCCTTTCCACTCAAAGAAATCGATTTATAGAGTAATTAGAACAGAGAATAATCACAAAGAAACTCATGGATTCAATCACATGAAGAAACCAGTTATAGATAGAGCAAGATATATTTTGAAGTTGAGTTTTGAGAGTTGATTAAAGCAGCTCACTTACAGCTTTGCCAT